TCCTCGGCAACATATAAGGTAAAATAAAGACATTGTGTTCACCTATAACTAAAAAATAAATATTTTTTTAAAAAATTACCTTTCTTTTCTGCCCTAAGTCAATACTTAGCACTCCAATTCCCACTTATTTTTCCCCAACTGTTAAAGCTCATATCCCAAATAGTATTCTTAGTTTGATGAAGTTTAGAGCAATTTTGATAGCCTGTAAATCCTCTTGAAAGAGGGAGTCTTGGGACCTTTGGCTGGATTTTAAAGCTATATTGGGGATGCAGTTGGTAGGAGAGCTGGCAGGTTCTGATCAGAACACAGGTTTGGGAGTGCAACAGACCTATGTTCAAATCCAGGCCCTACATCAACTCCTGATCTCAGATAAATTTAGTTTCCCTGCTTGTAATATGGAACTATCACTATTATCTTCTTCATGGGCTGTTGCCAGGATTAAATGAATGAATTCATATGAAGCTCTTTGCACAGTATCAGAAAATAGTAAGTATTCAACACATCATAGCTGAAGGATAATTACTATGGATTTATCAAGAAGGCTGAGGAAATAGTAACAAAAACAGATGGTATTGGCACCAAACAGACTGGTAGACCAATGGTACAGAATAGAGGACACAGAGACTAACCCTCATAATTACAGTTATCTTATGTTAGACAAACAACGTACATTGGGGAAAAGATAGCCTCTTCAACAAATGGTGCTAGGAAAATTGGAAATCCATATGCAATAAAATGAAATTAAACCCCCATTTCACACCATGCACAAAACTCAATTTAAAGTGGATCAGGGACCTGGGAATTAAACACTGCATCTATTAGAAGAAAAAGTAGGAACAAATCTCCATCATGTCAAATTAGGCCCTAACTTCCGTAATAAGACTTCTAAAAGTGCAAGAATAATAATAAGACTCCTATAGCACAAGAATCAATAAATGGGATGGATTCAAACTAACAAGCTTCTTCTCAGCAGAAGAAACAATCAGGTGAATAGAAAGCCTACTAATTGGGAACAAATTTTTACCACACACACATCAGATACAGCACTAATCTCTAGGAAATATAAAGAACCCCAAAATCTTAACATCAAAAAAGCAAATAACCCAATCAATAAATGGGCCAAGGAACTGAACAGACACTTCTCAGAAGAAGATATACAATCAATCAACAAATATATGAAAAAATATTCAATATCTTTAGCAATTAGGGAAATGCAAATCAAATTATTCTAAGATTTCATCTCACTCTAGTCAGAATGGCAGCTATTAAGAACACAGACAACAATAAGTGTTGGCGGGGATGTGGGGAAAAAGGCACACTCATACTTTGCTGGTGGGACTGCAAATTGATGCAGCCAATATGGAAAGCAAGTATGGAGAATCCTTGGAAAACTGGGAATGGAACCACCATTTGGCCAGCTATCCCACTCCTCGGTCTTTATCCAATGGACTTAAAAACAGCATACTACAGGTACACAGCCACATTAATGTTTATAGCAGCACAATTCACAATAGCTAAACTGTGGAACCAACCTAGATGCCATTCAGTAGATGAATGGATAAAGAAAATGTGATATATATATACACAATGGAATATTACTCAGCATTAAATGAAAATAAAATCATGGCATTTGCAGGTAAATGAATGAAGTTGGAGAATATAATGCTAAGTGAAGTTCACCAATCCTAAAACATGATGAATGTTTTCTCTGATTTAAGGATGTTGATTCATAATGTGGTGGTGGTGGGGTGCATGTGAGGATTAAATGAACTCTAGATAGGGCAAAGGGGAGGGAGTGGAAGGGAGCAGGTAGGGGAGTAGGAAAGACGGTGGAATGAGATGGACATCATTACCCTAAGTACATGTATGAAGACACAAATGGTGTGACTATACTTTATGTACAACCAGAGATATGAAAAATTGTGCTCTATATGTGTAATAAGAATTGTAATGCTTTCTTCTGACATATATAACAAATTAAAATAAAACATAAAATAATAAAAAAAAGAAGGCTAGGGAATGACTTCATTTAGTACAGATTATAAACTTCTTGCTAAGCATCCAGATACACCTGTTAGGTCTTTGAGACCTGATCCACATTTCTTTATTCAGCAAACATAATTATAACTTTGGACAGAACTAACGCTTTGAGGGAATTATGCAACCTAATGTGGAATTAAATTGGTCAACATCTTGAAATTTTCCCCAAAGTTTCCACTTTGTTTAGAGATTCTACCCATGGCTAATTAATCATTATGAGTAGAAAGGAGTTGATTCATTGAATTTTGTTTTATTATAAAATAAATTTATTTTCTCCATAAACCTCATGATATTTATTTTGCATAGTTCAATATTTTTTTGCTTTCCAAGTAATGTGACAATAAGAGCGGTATAATATTCTGAATAGACCAGTGTAAGGGTTTTGATGCTCTTGAGTGGAAAAACCTCTCAACTCCATGTAAGTAATGAACTTTTAGACACTCAAAGCTATAAGGGCTGAGTCTTAAGTTATTCCACTTTACAGCTGTGGCATCTTAAGTAATTTCTTTACTGTTTGATATTGTTTTCTTATCTGTGAAAAGAGCCAATATTTACATCTTGAGGGATCACAGAAAGATTAAACTCATTCATTCATTCATAAAACAATGTCTTTTTTCTCAGAACCTACTAAATATCGTATATCTTCCTGGGTACTAAGAATGGAAAAATAAAACAGCAAGAATTCTTACTCTTATAGAGTATATTTGAGATAAAATTTGGAGAAAATTTGAGATTCCTTATGCAAAATAAAACACTCTTGGTCTGGGGACAGAGCTTAGTGGTAGAGCACTTGTCTAGCTGCATGAGGCACTGGGCTCAATTGCTACTACAGTCAAAACAACAACAACAACAACAAAACCCCACTCTTTAAAAAATTAATTATTATATCATTGATGCAATACTTATGTCACTATAAAAACTTAAAAACATTTAATTGTGGCAGAATAGAGATTCAAATTAGAAAGTGCAGTTACATAATGAAGATATTCTGATAAAGAAAAATAATATAGAAATTGTTAGAGTCTGTAAACAAGTCAAAATAACACCTGGCATTTTGCCAGGGGAATGTTAGAGTTCGTAAACAAGTCTGGATGGTGCCTGGAAAAATGCCAGAGGGAGTGGTTTGTGAAGTAACACCAGCAAGCCATTAAGTGTGGAGATTCCTGATTGGTTGACTGATGTATCTAGTTTATGTTAATTAGATAAGCTGTGTGGAATGTATAAATACTGCTCCTGTCCTGCAATAAACGGCTTCCACTCCTGCTGTATCGATCTACACAAGTTATTCGTCACCCCCCGGTTATTTTGCTGCAGCCGGACTGTGGCAGATGGTGCCCGTTACAGGGAGCCCCGGGACACTCAGGGGTAAGTTGACGAAAAAAAGCTGCCTGTCTGTAGATAGGACGGGAGCAAATCTGCTCGTCCCTAGGCAGATAGGGCCAGAGGAAAAATGACCATTTCGAGAAAATGGAAAAGATTGATACAGTATGTTTGTGTCTTGTTTTGTCTCAGTGTATTGTATTGTCTTTGTGATGAAAATATGGAAGGGGTGAGAAGTAAATTTCTAAGGGAAGAAGGCACCCCAGTGGAACCAAGAATAGTTAGGGCATGTGTTGATAAGAGCCCAGGAACTCTAGTCAGAAAGAAAAAGAAAGTTCAGAAGAAGAAGGATTATCAGGAAAAAAGTTGCAGCAAAAGGCTATTACTAAATACTTTCTGTAACCAGAGGGTGCGTGAAGCGGAGAGGCGGCTGCCGAGTGTGCAAGCTGGTCACAGCGCAGCAAGGATTTTCCAAGAGGCGGTGGCGACTGGCCCTTCCCCGCCTCCTGGCAGGGGAGCTGGCTCTTCCACTGTCGCGAGCCCAAATCTAGACCTGACCTGGAGGCACAGTCTCGCAGGCTCTTGCTCCCTGTGCCCAGTAGCAGTTTGAGTCCGGGACACTCCCCAGGGCTATCTGGGGCTGCCCAGGACGCTACAGCCGACAAAAGACGCTACTGGCGTCCCTGATGTTTGGTCATTTTCAATGCCAATAACTAAGCTACAATGGTTCTCCGACACCTGGAAGCTAATGAGTAATAACACTATTAATGCTTATTTCAAATGTAAAAAACCTTGAGATAATGTACTAAATTGTTCAGAAGGTTGTTTTCTTAGTGGAATGCTACAGGATTTTCTTTAGCCATCCGGAGTTCCTGCCTTCGTCCCAGTGCAGGTGAAGACGAAGGTGGAAGAATTCCCAGTGTTGCTGAGAACCGGACTGAGATTTCAGCTGAGAACCGGACGAGACTTTGGATCAAGCTAGCTGCCTGCAGAACTTACCTGGACTGTGATTTAAGCTAGCTGCCTGCAGAACTTACCTGGACTGTGAGTTAATCTATTTGAGACACTACTTTACCTGGACTGAGACAACAAACTGTAATCTACAACAAATTGTAACTCGGTATCTTTGCAAATGGTGTCATTGCTGGTATAATTTTTCCAAGGGCTTCTTGCATGGAGCCATCAATTGGCTTGGTATTGTGGCATTTTGTATCCTCCCTTTCTGTTTGTAGCAGGTTATTTATGGTGTTTCTGTAAAAACCACTATGGTCGTTATTTAAATTAAACAAAAGGGGGAAATGTTAGAGTCTGTAAACAAGTCAAAATAACACCTGGCATTTTGCCAGGGGAATGTTAGAGTTCATAAACAAGTCTGGATGGTGCCTGGCAAAATGCCAGAGGGAGTGGTTTGTGAAGTAACACCAGCAAGCCATTAAATGTGGAGATTCCTGATTGGTTGACTGATGTATCTAGTTTATGTTAATTAGATAAGCTGTGTGGAATGTATAAATACTGCTCCTGTCCTGCAATAAATGGCTCCTACTCCTGCTGTATCAACGTACACAAGTTGTTCGTCACACCCCCCCCTGCTAGTTTGCTGCAGCCGGCCAGCGGCAGAAATGAGTCAATTACTAATCAAAGATTTTTCAAATGATCTTTTATTAGGTAATTTATAATTTCACAACAGCTGTATCAATACACAAACATATATATATATATATATATATATATATATATATATATATACAATTTTCCAATCAGGTAAATCAAAAGCAGTAGTTTAGTATATCTGATTGAATTCATATTACTCAAAATCTTACCAAAACGTTTGTTACAAAAATCAGTCAAATTGTTGAACAAATTTATAAAAATTATTGGATGTGTGTACATAAAAAATTTCAGGCTTGCTTTATTAAAAAAAAAAAGAGTGCAATTTCTATCCATGTGCTCATAGTGACTTTCAAAGGTAGTTTAAAGGGAGAAAAAAGAAGGTAGCAACTTATACAGCATTAATTAATACTGACTTACCCTGGGATTTCAAGAAAGATCCTTTGTTATCACATATGGTGAAAAATATTAAAAATTAATGCTCCATTTCTATGAATAAAACATAGAAAATAAGACTTCATTTTTCCTGTCTAACTTGTTTCCATGGAAAACTGCATTCATTCTGCAGATATTACTGATACCACACATTATTTACTTTAAAAATGTTGATGATCTACTTGAAATTCAAATAAAACCCCACAAAACCTATTCTCTCAATACATTCACTGAATGCAGATTTAAGTGAGCACACTCATTTTGATTGTGCCCTTTATTTGAATACTTTAAAATGACTATAAGCACATTTGTATTTTTAACTGGTACCAAAATTAAGATGAATGATCTATTCAAAACCAATAGCCTGTACTCCTAGTAACAGTTGTCAAATGCAAGGAAAAAAATAAAAAGCCCTGAGTCAGTATTTTTTTGCAAAAGTAATGAAAAGGATTGCTCTGAAGTCATCTTATAACTTATAAAATGATTAAGACCGTCCAGTATTCATTTGTTTCATATTCATTTTGATTGAAGAGAGGTACAACTTTTGTCTAATTAATCCAAATCAGATCACATTTTAATACTCAATTGCATTTAAATCCTCAGAATATCCTGATGATTGTTGAGTTGTATCTTCCACTTCTGTCAGGAAAGACATATAGACAAAAATGTTTTTTTCTGCTTATTATAGAAAAACATTAAATTGTAGTTTTATCATTTAAGAGTATATTGCAAAATCTTTTTTCAATCAAGCTTCTATAACTGGGAACATATTATTACCTGTACAGGGTCCTGCCTGAAATTTAACATCATCAATAGCAATATCACTTCTTATTGATGTTCCCCGAATGGCTTCAAAAATTATCTGAAAAATAATTGAATTTGAATTTAGAAATAGAGTAATCCTGATATAACTATGTTGGTCAGGGAAAGTTCAAGTTTTGTGGGTCTAAAGGCATAGGTAGTTCTTAGGGCCCTCTATAAGGAAAATGGTACAAAATTACAAATTCAAATTTAGGTACTTTAGTTTATTTGGAATTTAAAGACATTTTCAATAAATTACTGGACCCTTGGAGATTCAGATTCTATGCTCACCACCCCCCTTCTTTTGGCATTGGGGATTGAACCCATGGGGGCTCTACCACTGAGCTACATCCCCAGGGGCCCCCTACTCCCATGCTGCCTTTTAAATTTGAAATAGGGTCTCACTAATTTGCCCAGGTTGGCCTTGAACTTGCCATTCTTCTGCTTTAGCCTCTGAGTCCCTGGGATTACAGGCATGTGCCATCACACTTGGCTCTGATCCCTTTCTTCCCCAGAAATGCTTACCAAAAAATGCTTCCCAGTGCTTACTTGGGTCCCTCTTCCCATTTAGAACACTCTATTTCTAGAACCTCCCAGCACCCACATGGCCTATGAAAGTGAGAGGCCCTGAAGCTTAAATTTCCTTAGGCTCTCCATAAATCTTCCTTTGATACTGGTACTTTACAAAAAGACTTAATATGACTGTATATACACACTTATAAACAGAAAAGCATAATAATTAAATTTACCAAAATAATGGTTCATTTATCATGTAAAATACCAACTATCAAAGACACAGATCAAGGAGAAGAGGGAACAATGTCATGACTTTAGAGTCTGAGCAGAAAATAACTGATCAAATTTTCTTGTTCTAGGAAAAATAGATTACCAGATCTAAGGTTGCCCCCAACAATGGTTAATAAACCACTCATTACTTCAAGAAGATTTGTGGGTAATGAAAGTTGTTCATAAGACATATTTGCTCTACTCATTTTATGAACAAATGACTTCTCATTGGACTAGTTAATGATTTAAATTAAATTAAAAAAGAATGCCCTTAAACTAATTTCATTAAACCTCTTTAAATTAAATAAGAATATAAATTGAATAATTAACATGTTTTTGAAATTAATGATTTAAAATAGCTTTAGTGACAGACAAAGCAAACCAATGATCAATAAGAATTCTAAGGACATAAGCTGTGCTGGTTAATTTTGAATGTCAACTTGACTGGGGTAAAGATACCCAGATAGTTGGTAAAGCACTATTTCTGGGTATGTCTGTCAGACTGTTTCTAAAAGAGATTGGCATTTGAATCAGTGGACTAAGTAAGAAGAATATACCCTTACCCAGTGTGGGTCAGCAACATCCAATCTATTGAAGGCTCAGATAGAACAAAAAATAGATTCATTCTTTCTTCTGGATCTGGGACACCCATCTTCCGCTGCCTTTGGACATCAGAAGCCCAGGCTTTCAGGCTTTTGGACTCTGAGGCTTACACTAGCAGCCTCCCAGGTTTTCAGGCCTTCTGCCTCAGTCTAAGAGTTATACTACTGGCTCCTTTAGTTTTCAGGCTTCAGATTTGGATTAAGCTATGGTTTCCTGGTCCTCTAACTTGCAGATGATGTATCACTGGGGATTTTCAACTTCTGTAATTGCACGAGCCAATTCCTAAATGATAAATCCCTTCCCATCTGTTTCTCTGTTTGGTTCTGTTTCTCTAGAGAACAGTCGTTGAAACACAACCCTAAACAAGAATCCGTATAAATGGCAAGACAAGGTGGAGAAATGTCCCAACACATTTAGATGGGAGGACATATAAATGAAGTTAATAAACATTTTGGTTTTCTGAACAACAAAATCTGTTTTTTGACCTCTGCGTCTGCAGTGAAAAATGCAACAGACAAATTTTGATGAAATTATATTCTGAATAATATGTGATTTTGCCAAAATCTTGATTTCATATGACCCTCTCCTTTGAATTTTCTTAACACTTCAGTGATGACAATTTTACACCACTGATTTCACTGTTATATTTATAGATATGTAGGAGTATCTCTCTCTCTTTTTTTCCCTACACTGATGATGAGATTCACTTAACATATCTTTGTGCTTTAGAACTAACAAAATCTACCTGGTAGCAGCTAATGAACAAATATTTATTTATAGAATAAACACAATGAATATAGTATTAAATAACATATTTCCTTGGTTCTCAAATTGTGGGGCAGACACACTCAAGTACATTCACAGGAGTGCTCTGGGATATTTTGAAATTTAATGGGAAACACAGCAATATTCAACAAGTAGCAGACACTGTATGAACTACTAGTTCATGGTCATTCAAAGATTCAACATTAGATTGATCTATATTCCCTTTGATAATATCTTTATAGATAACATCTTATCTTTATGGTTTTGGAAGATGCTATAATTAAAGGAATCATTATGTAAAAATCAGTGTAGAACATTAAATGAAGGTGGCATAATAATCTGCTTTCAAAGTTTGAGAAGTTGTGCAACGCCTGACAGGTATATATATGCTATTAATAAATAATTGAGGTAATTTAAGAATTAGATAAAATATTTTTTCTTTTAATTTAAGTATTTTTTTAACAAATAAGTTATCAGAACATAAATACATATGAAGTTATTTGGACTTAGGTAATTAATAAATTGAACCATTAGGTATTTCTTTTGGTGTAGGGGAACAGGGGAAAATTACCAAGATGATAGGAATTATGAACAAAATTATTTGGAGACTAGGCTCTCAACTGAGTACCTGGCACAAAGGAATTCCTAGTAAATGTTAGGCAGTATAATTAACAATAAGACTGATGTAAATACTTCAGTGAGCTGAGAATTTGTCCAACACTTTGTTTCAATGACAACAAAATTTAAGAAACAACAGAGGAAAACACCCGAAAGCAGAGGGAAATAATAACCAGGGAATCCAAAGGAGATGAAATGAGTTTGTGTTTTTGATCAATAGTGAGTCAGGTTTTGCTTAGCTCCTCCCTTAGGAAGGAGCGTGATGAAAAATTTGTCATTTGATGTATTTCCTCTACAATGATAATCTGAAGACTGGCCCATTTTTGGGAGGCCACCCATATATTTACCCCAAAGGGAACAGTCTCAAGTGGCAGCAATGCAATAGGACTCTTAAAAACTACACCTGTCTGGCTTCACTCATGATGTGCACATTTACTTCCTTTAGCTCCATTTTCTTCCTTGAACTCCAGTCTCGTATCTACTGTTTACTTGACACATCCACTTGGATTTCTAACAGACATAAGAAACTTAACATGTCCAATATAAACAAAACCTATCAACTTCTCTCATCCACACAACTGTTCTTACTCCTCCAGATGTACTCTCCCTAGCTTTCCTTATCTCCATAAATAGCATAGACATTCACTGTAGCAATTGCTCAGGCCCAAAACTTTAAAGTCATCTTGACTCTTCTCTGTCTAAAACTCCACATTCTATACTTATGTTGTCCTGGAAGCTTCTGATGACATCTCACCCCCGCTACCAAGTATACTTTTCACACAGTAGCTGGAGTGATTGTTTCAAAAATATAATTCAGATCCTATTACCATAAAGGCATCTTACAGCTACCTATTGCTCTTGAAATAATTTCAAACTCTTTGCCATACCCTCCAAGGACTTCCATGATTATTTTAAAGCCCTTTGACTTTGTTACCTGATTGGTTTGGTCTCCTCCTCCTCTGCTTTAAATTAATATTATTTTATTTTATTGTGCAGTGGTGGGGATTGAACTCAGAGCCTCATGCATGCTAGTAAGTGCTCTACCATTGCTATATCCCAGCCCTTCATATTATTATTCATGGACAGATCATCATTGCATGCCTTCTCAGGGAACAATATATTTTAATATATGCATACATTTTGGAATGATCAAATCAAGAAGATTAACATATTTGCTGTATACTTTTTTTTTTTTGCAGTGAGACCTTTGAAATTTACTCTCTTATTTTGAGATATGCAATATGTTACTATTGATTATATAGCCACCCTACTGTGCAAACAGATCACTAAAATTATTCCTCCTATCTACTGGAAATTTTGTAAACTTTGACTAAGGACTTCTCATTCTTTTCCATCCCCCTGCCTACCATGCCTCATGGAACCGTCATTCTACTCTATTTCCAGGAGTTCAACTTGACTTACTGTCACCTGGTGCTACATTATATATTTTGGGCTTACATTTTTTTTAACCTGTATCCCACTAGAATATAAACTCCAAAAGACAAGAAATTTATATGTTCTATTTATTGTAGAATCTTTAGCACAGAACAACAAGTGGCCAAAAAATATTTATTAAAAATGAGATATTTTACCCCCAAACTACTGGAACTCAGTCTGGATGCCTAATATAGCTATTAAGAATACCAATTCTATTATGATAATATGAATTAGAAACTAGGGAAATTTGAGAGGGAATATAGTTTGAGAAATAGGAATATTACCTTTTATAATATGATATGATCATGTTTACAAAGCCCCTTCACACAAATAATCTCACTTGACTCCAATTCCATCTGTGGTAATGTCAGCAAGGCGGGAATTATTTTCTCATTTTGAAAATGTATGAATGATCTCATAAAGGATAAAAATTTCTCCAAGATCACTCAGAGCTTGTGACCTTAAGGCAATGATGATATTTTGGAAATTCTGTGAAGGCAGGAAGTACAGAACAGTGCCTTATAGAACTAGGCAGATCTGGGTTCAAGCTCTTGCCTGGCCACCTACCAACATTTACTCTTCCCCATCTGCAAAATGGAGCTATAGGATCAATGGAAGGAATGTATGTATAACAGCATTGCAAGTGCCCAACATACAGAAGATGGCTACTCTATGTGCACATGTGTATTTGCATTTCATTAGACCCTAGGATGCTTTGGAGCACCTAGTTCAGCCCAGTTTCCCTGCAGTCGTCTGGGATTCCTGAGGGAATCACTAAGTCCAGAGAAGATTCAAATCTGTTCCATTCTAAGCCAAGTGGGTCAGTCTGGAGTCTTGCTTCCAGACTGTGAGCTGAAAATCTCTAGGGTCATTTGATACCCTTTGAACTCGAATACCCCAAGATGCCACCCCATCTCTCTGTTTGTCTGCCCCCCACCCCTGTGCACGCGCACGTGCGTGCGCGCGCGCACACACACACACACACACACACATACACATTTAAAGGGACAAGCTACCAGCAGGTTTATGTGCAAGGCCCTGTGCCTGACCTCCAGAGTTAGATGTGGGAAAATTTCCTATTTTCCAGAACTTAAATCTTACAGTACTTGTATATCAATATAACTTGGGAGTTTTGAAAATATCAATGCTGGACTGGCAGGTATAGTTCAGTGTAGAGCACTTGCCTAGCATGCATGAGGGCTTGGAGCATTTTGCAATGCAGCATTGGAATGAAAAAAGAAGGAGGAGGAGGAGGAGGAGGAGGAGGAGTTTCAGTCAGAGCTTGGGTACCATCCCTAAAGATCCAGATTCATTTAATTCAGCATAGAGATTCTCTATCTTTTGCATGCATCAGAATCATGTGGACATCTTATTAAAACAGATTTTTGGAGTCCCAGAAATTCCCAAGTTTTTGATTCAGTACTTCTGAGGTGGAGCCTGGAAATTTGCATTTCTTTTTTTTCTTTTTTTTTTTTTAGGGCCAGGTTTTTGCTTTTATAAAGATATGGGTAATAACAGATCCTTCTATTCTTGGTATTTCAACTTAAATTTGCCTTCCTTCCTTCCTTTTTTTAATTTTTTTTATTAGTTGTTCAAAACATTACAAAGCTCTTGACATATCATATTTCATACATTTGATTCAAGTGGGTTATGAACTCCCATTTTTACCCCATATACAGATTGCAGAATCACATTGGTTACACATCCACGTTTTTACATACTGCCATACTAGTGTCTGTTGTATTCTGCTGCCTTTCCTATCCTCTACTATCCCCCCTCCCCTCCCCTCCCATCGTCTCTCTCTACCCCATCTACTGTACTTCATTTCTCTCCCTTGTTTTTTTTCCCCTTTCCCCTCACTTCCTCTTATATGTAATTTTGTATAACAATGAGGGTCTCCTTCCATTTCATGCAATTTCCCTTCTCTCTCCCTTTCCCTCCCACCTCTCATCCCAGTTTAATGTTAATCTTCTTCTCATGCTCTTCGTCCCTACTCTGTTCTTAGTTACTCTCCTTATATCAAAGAAGACATTTGGCATTTGTTTTGTAGGGATTGGCTAGCTTCACTTAGCATAATCTGCTCTAATGCCATCCATTTCCCTGCAAATTCCATGATTTTGTCATTTTTTTAGTGCAGAGTAATACTCCATTGTGTATAAATGCCACATTTTTTTTTATCCATTCATCTATTGAAGGGCATCTAGGTTGGTTCCACATTCTAGCTATTGTGAATTGTGCTGCTATGAACATTGTTGTAGCAGTGTCCCTATAGTACGCTCTTTTAAGGTCTTTAGGGAATAGTCCAAGAAGGGGAATAGCTGGGTCAAATGGTGGTTCCATTCCCAGCTTTCCAAGAAATCTCCATACTGCTTTCCAAATTGGTCGCACCAATTTTCAGTCCCACCAGCAATGTACAAGTGTACCCCTTTCCCTATATCCTCGCCAGCACTTGTTGTTTGACTTCGTAATGGCTGCCAATCTTACTGGAGTGAGATGGTATCTTAGGGTGGTTTTGATTTGCATTTCTCTGACTGCTAGAGATGGTGAGCATTTTTTCATGTACTTGTTGATTGATTGTATGTCCTCCTCTGAGAAGTGTCTGTTCAGGTCCTTGGCCCATTTGTTGATTGGGTTATTTGTTTTCTTATTGTTTAATTTTTTGATTTCTTTGTATACTCTGGATATTAGGGCTCTATCTGAAGTGTGAGGAGTAAAAATTTGTTCCCAGGATGTAGGCTCCCTATTTACCTCTCTAATTGTTTCTCTTGCTGAGAAAAAAACTTTTTAATTTGAGTAAGTCCCATTTGTTGATTCTTGTTATTAACTCTTGTGCTATGGGTGTCCTATTAAGGAATTTGGAGCCCGGCCCCACAATATGGAAATTCGTATTTCAGGTGAACCTGCATTTTAGTTATTGCTGATGCTGCTGATACCCAGATCACACTTCAAAAAACATGTGGTAAGGATAGAAGTATGAATGCTAGTAGCCTAACAAAATTGATCCATCTTCTCTGAAGGATGGTCAATTAAGTTCCTGAGCAACCTATTTCCTTCTGTAATAGACATTATATCACCATCAATATTATTCATAGAACTGTTATTCTTTACCAAGTTTCTAGACAGTTTATCCATGCTGAGCTAATTGGGCCTTTCTTGAATAATGGCCCATCTTCCTTCTGTCATTTGTTCTTTAACAATGCAGCACACCGGATGGCATTGCAACCTGGCCACCTGAGCTTCTGAAATTCCTTTAGATCTGTAAAAAATTATTTTTTGCTGTAAGGTGGTAACAAAATTAAACCCTTATTTTGGATTCCTCTTCCCAGGAAGATTTGGAATTTGAGCAGGCTAATGGCTAAGCTAGAGTGCTGGTCCAGGAGGTTTATTAGTCAGAAGCAAGGAGGGAGAAGAAGCTGGGGGCTTAGTTGGAAGTTACACTTGAGAATTCTACACAGCAATTTTAAGAACAATTAGGTATCTGGAAGTTATTTCCTCAATGTTTTCTGGGGTTCTCATGGTAGTCAGGTAAAATTGGGGGCTGTCAAAAGGCAGTTGCTGCTCTCTAGCAGAGACTGGCTGCCCAGCCCCATCTATTAGAATTTAAAAGGCTTTTTCCCATTGCTGCCCAGACTCCTTTATGATCAAGATCACCTAGAACAGAAGTCTTCTTTAGCACACGAGAGGACCTAGAGGGAGACCCAGGGCTTGAAATCAAGGCTCAGTTTCTTTCATATCAATCCACTGATAGGATCAGAGGCTTAAAAACACTTATTCTGGACCATACATACTCTTAAATAGAAGCTTAAAACAAAACCCTTACATGCATGTGGGTAGATGAATAAAAGATGCAGCTGCAACAACTAATTAGGCAACACCATATTTAGAAGGAAAGGAGATTTCGTTTTGGAGGTTTATAGGACACATGAAAATATACTTGACATTCATAATGTACTAAGATAAAAATAGATACACTTTCATGATTGAATTGCAGAAAAAATCACTTTATGCTAAGCTTTCTCTCCCTGTCTAATTTCTCATTCACTTCATAGATTTAATCAACATAGAGGCTAATTACGTTTACTCTTAAACGAATCTTCCCTTTATCTATGACCTTGAGAAAGGACAAAATATTCTCTTTGATAATGAGAAAAAGGAGAAACATCAGAAGCTTACATGCATGTTTTCCCTGCTTGAATCTTATCTCTTTTGGCTTACCTGGTGTTGCTGCATACAGCTGTACTCAATCAGTGCTCGGAGCCAGGAAATGCTCTGTTCACCTCTTCTTCTCCATAAAAGCGACTCTTCACTGTCTTCTTCTTTCTTCAAGTAAACACTCAGCAGGCCAGTCCCTGCTCCATACATGTGGTAGAAGAAGGTCAAGCAGTGTTTTCCAGGGATGCCTCGCAGAGGCTTGGACTGGAGATGTGCTTTTTGTCCATACACCATATGGGAGGCCTCGATGTACATGTAGTAGCCTTGAGAGAAATGCAAAGCGGGTATTGTTAAAAAGGACACAAATCACATTTTCTTCTTTTGTAGTGTACCTGGAAAAATGGACAACTTCACTGCCGTACTGAGAATGGGTTTTATATTCTGGAGAATGTATATTCTAGAAGAATAAATATGCTAAAAGAATTAGACCATAAAATGATATTATGGGGGGGGGGGGTGACCCAGGGGCATTTTATCACTGAGCTACATCCCCAGTCCTTTTTTAATTTGAAACAGGTTCTCATTAAGCTGCTGAAGCCTCACTAAGTTGTTGGGGCTGGTCTTGAACTTGCAATCCTCCTATCTCAGCATCCTGGGCAGCTGGGATTACAGGAATGCACCACTGTGACTTGCCATAAAATAATTTTTAACTGAATAATTTATAATTCAGTTTAATTGGCAGGGGGTAATTAACATATGAATGTTATATCACAAATATGATTAGCACATCAACATTTAGCTAATTCATGGACAATATTCTAAATGTTTGTCTTCCCCCAATTCATCTGTTGAAATACTAACTCCCCAGGTGATATCCAGAGGAGGAAACACAGAGGTCATGAGGGCAATGCTCCCATGAATGGTATTAGTGCCTTTATAAGAGACTCCAGAGATTCTCTCATCTCTTCCGTCAAGTGGGGATTAAGAGAGAAGATGGCCATCTATGAAGAAACAGGTCCTTCCTAGACACCAGATCTACTGGCACCTTGATCTTAAACTTCTCAGCTTCCAGAACTGTGATAAGTAAATTTCTGTTGTTTGTAAGCTGCTCAGTCTATAATAATTTGTTAGAGTGGCCCAAACAGACTAAGACACAGCCTCACCTTAAAACCTACTCCACCCTTATAGTTGCTCAGCCCCAAACCTGTGAGTCATGTACCACTTTCCACATAAGGGATTCCCATTGGCTCTACCTTTGAAATATGTTCAGTAGCCAGTCACCTCTCTTCTCACTGCCGCTACTGCCCCAGTCCAAATTACTATCATTTTTCCCTTGGACTAATGCAAAAGCTTTCTGGCCACAAAAATCGGCCTGTTTTTATCATCACCCCTTACAATCCAATTTCAACACAGTATCCATAGTGATCCTTCTAAAACAAAAGGTAAATCTTGCTATGCCTCTGTTCAAACCTTCCCTTGGTTCAGCTTTTCAGAGTTAAAAGCTGAGGTCCTCAGTTAGGATTGTCTTTAGGAGCCTGGACAATCTGGCATCCATTCTTGTAACCTTGCTGACTCTCACCACCTTTCACTGACTTACCTTTCTCCTTACTCCAGTTGCTGTACCCTGCTTTCCCTAGAGATGCCACCTCAGGACCTTTGTATGTGCTAATCCTGGATCCTCCCACAGTTCTCATGTTTTACTCGGTCACCTCCTTTAAGTCTTTGCTCAGATATTACCTTTTCAATTATGCCTGTTCTGACTACAATATTAAAAATTGCAAAAAAATGCTATTTCCTCATCCCCTGCATCTTAATTTATTATGTTTTCCATAGCATATATTTGCCTCATAACATCCTATGTAATTTTCTTATCTTTAATGTTTACCTGCCTTCCTCCTCTAGAACACACTAAGGCAGAGATTTTTCCTGTCTAGTTCACTGTCATGTAACAATGTTTGGAAATGGAACATGGTAGATGCTTGAAAATATTTGCTGATGGGTGAATGAATGCAGTTTTTTCACAACTCTAAGCCATAAACCAGTTCAACCATTTCTAGAACACGTGGTGCTGGGGATATAGCTCAGTTGGTAGAGTGCTTGCCTCACATGTACAAGGTCCCAGGTTCAATCCCCAGCACCACCACCAAAAAAAAAAAAAAAAAGTCTAGAACACTTGGCTTCACCAAGTGCACTCCTAATGTGAGAGGTCCTTGGAAGGAGACACACACTTGATTTGGACCCTCCAAGGCAAAACTAGAACAAATTCAAGCTTTTCCTCTCTTTCTCCCTGCCTTTCTCTTATTGGTGGTACTGGGGACTGGATCCAGGAATGTTCTGCCTCTGAGTTACATCCACAGCCCTTTAAATTTTTTTTTTTTTTTTTTTTTGAGACAGGATGTCACTAAGTTGCCCAAAATGAGTTCAGTTGTCCTCAAATTAGTAAATTAGTTCCACACCATGTGAGATGTTTTTTTTTAAATGAACACACATAACAGAGAGACAGGTGACCCAGAATTGTCTTTCCTTTAGTGATGAGGGCAGTGCACACCCAGTAATCACAATATGGGGTCTTAACAGGTTATTATGAGTTCCTGGAAGACTGGAAAACTCTCAATCACCTCTAGGATCATTTGATTGAATTCCTGCCTTGGTGAGTATAATACCCTCATTCATTCAGGCTTGAAAGGGAGCAGCTTCCTCCATCCCATCCCCTGTTTTTTGGACCATACACACCTCCACAGATGTGATTACTGAGGTCTATAATACTTTCTGTTCATTCACCTCTGAGTCTTGGTTTTGAGCTAGAAGCTATTAGCTAAGGTTTCCAATTCCAGAGATCCCTGTGTACCATGAAATACAAAAGAAAATCTCTACCATTTGACCTGGGTAACTGCTGCTTTTGGATGGCAAAGATTATGTCCCAGTGGGAGTCCCTTGCTGGGGCACTGACACCAGTCTAGTTTTCTTGAATAGTGTCGGCCTTTGCAAATATTCTTCAAGATATAGTTTATATTTTAAGGATTTATGTATAAGGCAGTTCTGATTTAGAGCAATCTAGACCAACATCTATACCTAAAAATAATTTTAACAAATTTGTCAACTGATCAGACTTTGCCCTCTCATGCACAAACAAATAATGCCTTGAGACTACAATTTTTTTTCTTTTTGACCTGCATATGATATTTCTTTTCCCCAGAAAACAAAAAACAAAAACACCAGAGCTTTATGGAGGGGCAATCTACCTCGCATATGTTCCAAAAGCAGAGAAAAGTCCTGTGTGTTGATAAGCTTTACCCCATTACAGCTTCAAGCTCTGTTTCAGCAAACAAAAGCTGTGGAGGGAAGCCAGGAAATCCCAGCAGCTCCTGTGTTCCTGCACATGAAAGATTCCAGCCTGTGAAAGGGATTATTAACTGGAGAAAACAAATGACTTTCTCTCTGTGGGTCATTGTTCAACATTCAAGATGGGTGTTCCAGTGGATCTACTGAAAGATCAGGATCCCATCTGTTTTTTGCATGGCAACTGTGATGTGTTGAGATGAACAGACACTAAACAGATCCATAATCCTGAACTTTGAAGCAGCTGTTCCTTCAGGATCATGACTCTCTCTTGCAGGGCTGGGAAGAAACCCCAGTGGCCTGAGTGAAGAGGCTCTGAGGAATGAACAGCTAACCGCATTCAGTAAGCTGGAAGAGACTCATAATCAGGGCCCAAAGACACCAATGCTCTGGGGAAATAACTGCTAAAGGTGTTTCTCTAAGGTTATTCTTTACTTTTGACTCATTTTAAAATCTTGTCATAAACAAGATGTTTAATGGGTATGGATTTCCAGTCTGGAAAAGTGAAAAGAAGTTGGGAGACAGATGGTGGTGATGGTTGCAGAACAATGTGAATGTACTTAACACCACTGAACTGTATGCTGAAAAATGGTTAAAACGATAAATGTTATGCATATTTTATGACAATTTTTAAAAAGGCTTATCAAAGAAGCCTTCTCTGTGTAAGATCTGATAATATCAGAAACTAGCATGATAAGATTAGTTATGAAAAGAATGAAGGACACTGGAGCTTTTGAAGATCTGGAGCTAATTCATCAGATGGCTATAGACCAGTTGGGTAGCATTGCTGCAGGTCTCAATGTCAAAACTGCTGCATGTCTCAATGCCAAAATTCTTATATGACAAGGATTTGAGATAGACTGCTATTATAATTCAGTTGCATTAAAAATAAAAAAACCACATTAAATACTTAGTTTTGATTTTCTTTTGCCTAACAGCACATTTTTATAAATTTAATTCTTTGATATTTTTGTATTATTGATATTTCACACAAGAAAGGAGTGTTCTTGGAAACGAAGAAGACTCCTGCCTTTACTTGGTAGCAAGCTGGAAGAAAATTTAGTTTCCAGAAATAAGGAAGATCTATCAAAACACTGAACAGCACCACATAAGAAAGTGATGGTGTCTCTTTCTCTGAAATTGTTAAGAAAATGACGCAGAGCTGCTTTTCTGGGAGGTAGTGGGGTGGGGGACGGCCAGATGACAATCTGTTCTGCTCACTGGGGACTCAGTGGGCTAGGAATCGTGACAACTGAAGTCGTTTTCTCATAGAAATGGGTAGTTATCTGTTGGTTTATTTGTTCTACTGTCATTTGGTTAAAAAATCCCTATAAAATTCAGGTCAACCAAAAACCAAAAAAGTTTACAAAGAATTCTGACACTGTGGCATCAGACAAATGTTAATAAAATTGCAATGTCCAATGAAACCTCAGGAAGTTTGATAAGACTTGGCATTATCATCTTGTAAATAAATACTACCTATGTCAGGAAACTTTCTCTTTCACAGGATAGAGTTGCTCAAGTAGATGGTGACAGGACCTGGATTGACAAATCCTTCAAAGTCCATCCCACCTTGATGCAAGTCACTTCTACTGCTTCAAATGTCTTTCTTAGTTTAATAGGAGTCAAATGGTGGGACTAGGCATTATTATCATTTGTCTTTGTGGTTATTATACTAGAATGACTTGTTCATCGGGTGTTTCTCAAAATTAGTCATATAAATAACACCTTCATATTATTTCTTGTCTACCCATACAACAGTACTTACTACCTGTGCTGTTATTAACTTTTTTCTTTAAATAGATTCTATTTTTCATTGCTTAAATACATTGATCTAAATAGGAAACTTCATATAAGCATAAAAACAAAAATTTACCCATAAATCTGTGAAATAATGGTTTTGATGTACTGCTCATGTATTTTTCTTATACATGAATATTACTTCTAATGTTTAAAATATTCATATTATTATCACTTGAGTTAC